CTTGCACAGTGCCCTGTTTGCTGGTAGGGCTCGTTGTGAGTGTAAGGGTCTGCGGGTGAGCATCAGCTTGTGGGGTCAGGGCTCTGATTTTTCCTGTCCTAAGCTGTAAGAGCAGGAACCCTAACTTGTTCCTGCATTTGGATGTGTTAATATCACAGGGGTAGGAACTGACTGAACAGCCTTGCGAAGGGCTGCTCGATCCTCGTGCAGACATTTGTACTGATTCTACTGACGTGTCAGCATTTCATGGTGTGTGTGGTGTGTGTGTGTGCGCCATGTTGCAGCCCCTCTGTTCCGTGGGGGTGACAAAAGTACATGACAATCTCATCTCCTGTTAGTAGAATTCAAATCATGAATGACGCTAGAATTCCTAGGAGCCTCTCTGAAGTATTCAGACTGAGCATCTTCCAGTATTTGAACGAACCAACAAGTTTAATTAGTTTGAATTACATAATATACACACGAGGCTCTGGCTGTTTGTTTCCTCGCCTGTGTGTGTTGTAGGAAAACCACTCTGATCTGAACTCTTGTTGTGCCATCCATAAATGATCGAGGATTATCTGTAGCTCACAAAGGGCCTCAGAACATCAATTGCCTGTTCAACTTGTTTCGTTTTAAGTACAGCCTGGCAGCCTTAACTCTGGGATTTCCACCCTCACATGGGTTTGTCCGGCTCTTCAGATGGCATCTCACTGTAGTTTATGACACTGTGTGCACATTGTGATGCCAGTTGTATTTAAACATATAGGTGATAGCAGTATGCCAGCAATCCCCATTGGCAAAACAGATTTCTTTTTTGTTTACTCGGATGGTATGTAAACAGCAACTTCCTGCATTGTCATTCTAGAACACGGATATCATCCATTGGAGTTTGTGTAATTTTTTTTTTAATAGACACATTGGGCCAGGGCCTGAGCTGGTCTAAATTGGAGCTAGAGCTATACTGACTTACACCAGTTGAGGATCTGGGCTGATGCGCTTACTATAAAGCGATGCAGGCTAAATGTCATTGAAAAGCAGCTGCAGTGCATGGCTGGAGAGAATTTGAACATGGCTATCTGCCATGTTCTTAAATGTCTTCCTTTCTCCTTTCTAAAGTACAAAGAATAACAATTGATGCTCGTGCACGTACCACAGAAACTATTTTAGAAACTCTCTGAGAGGTCAGCTTGGCAGAGATTAAATTGAGAACTTCAATGCGGAGTCTGCTCTAGAGTTCCCATTGCTGATCAATAATCTTCCATCGTTGCCGAGTCTCATTGTAAGCTTAGAACCTCCCTAATTCACACCCATGATTAGGAGACTCATTGTGAATGACTAAATGTTTTGAATGAGAGGACAAACATTTTAAGCCAGGTTTCTGCATAGATGTACTTGTTTCTGTAGCTGCAATTGGAGTTTTAGTTTAAATGATCTGACACTTATAATGCACTTTGATATCTTTTGTACTGTAATAAGGTTGTAGTTCTGACCTATTGACAAATTTTGCACTAGTTTAACTAAGTGTATTTTTTAAACAGATTGAGTTTAACCAATACCAAACCCTGCGTGGACACTTTTAACTTGATTCAAACTTGGTTTGATTGTGTTTAGCTTGTCAGTACAGTAAATTTACCAATGCAAGCTAAATCCATGTAAGCCAATTTTTAAACTGATCAGAATGGCCACACTGGGTCAGACCTATGGTCTATCTAGCCCAGTATCTTGTCTTCCAACAGTGGCCAGTGTGTCAGATGGTTCAGAGGGAATGAACAGAACCAGGCAATTGAGGGATCCATCCCCTGTCTTCCAGTCTTTTAGCTTCTGGCAATTGGAGTCTTAGGGACACCCAGAGCTTGGGGTTGCATCCCTGACCATCTTGGCTAATAGCCATTGATGGGCCTGTGCTCCATGAATTTATCGAATTGTTTTTTGAACCCAGTTACGCTTTCAACCTTCACATCATCCCTAGCAACAAGTTCCACAGGTTGACTGCAGTTGTATAAAGAAGGACTTCGCTTTGTTTTGTTTTTAAACCTGCAGCCTATTCATTTCATTGGGTGATGCCTACTACTTGTGTTATGTGAAGGGGTTGTGTCACTTCCCTCTTCACTTTCTCCAGACCATTAATGATTTTATAGACCTCCATCGTATTCCCCCTTCAGTCCTCTCTTTTCTAGGATGACCAGTCTGAGCCTTTATAAGAATGTTTAGGATGTCTTGGCCATGCTGAAGTTGCTGCAGTATGGTTGTTTAGTCACCAAGCTGCTTTGCAGCAGTTGTAAGTTTTTTATGTTTTAGACTTGAAGTGAACTCTGTGAGGTGCCCGCAGGTTCATTTTTAGCCCAGATGTAAGCTACAACTAAATGCCAATGGCTTCTTTTGTTTCTTCCCACCCTTTCTGCAGATTGGGTATACAGAACCTCAGCTTAAACGTAGAGAGTTCTTCTGCACTGACTTGGTTAATGAATATTTCCATTCGCCCATGCTGTGTTTGTGAACCAAGACTGATGGTCTTTAAGGTGGTCAAGGAAGCAATTGAATATGCAAGGCTGGGACAATTACATTTGGAAACAGTAACTTCTGTGTGGGTAGAACTATTTTTTCTTTTTTAAGGCTGCAGATGCCTACAGTAGACCATAGTTTGTGGCAAAACCACAGTAGAAGTGCCACTGGTTTACCATAGTATTATCAAGAGCATATTAAGGAACCAATAGGTCCCCACAATCTGTAGTGTTCAGCTGAAATAGATTTATTTTTTTCCCTCTCAATTGTGTATTTCCTACCATTTTTCATTAGTATAAGGATGTGCAAGTGGATAATGTGGGCAATAAATATAATTCCTTTTGGCTAGTCACTATGTATTTGTACTATGATAGTGTCTTGAGGCCCCAGCCTAGATCCAAACATCTCTTCAGCATGGGGACCATCCCTTATTAGCTCACCATCTAAACACATCAGAGAGCGGGTGGGAGAAGGGTAAAAATGGAACTAACAATATTTCCTAAGAGAAACCGAGTCACTGACGTTGTGACTTGTCTGAAGTCATGCAGAGAGTCAGACATAATTTGGGACCCAGGAGATCTGGATTTAATTCCTATCTAGTGGTGTAGTGACACAACCATCTTTCCTTTCTTGACAGAGTTGTCATCTGATGATGCCTTTTTATAATACAATTTATTAATAAAGAACAGTTAATTATGACCTTTTGGAAGCAGAATCATCACAATTATCTGTTCACGGTTTGGAGTCCCAGCTGAATTTTTGTCTAGAACATCTAGGCTGTTTTAAAATCCATATTTTCTTTACTGAGCTTATGTTTCTGACTAATTGTGTATTGAGTTTGCAACTTTATTCTTTTTTTAAATAAAAGATTTCCATCTAGGTCCAGTGAAGTTCAAACTTAATCTAATGTTGGTATTGATTGCAGCTTCTAATTGCAGGAAAAAAAGCGATATTTCAACAACCTTTTTGCATTCGAAAAATCACTCATGAACTTTGAAAATCGCTATTATACTAAATTGAACTTCAGTTTGTTTCTATCATGAAGTCAAAATATTTAAACTTGCTGATACTTATGGTGGTTTTTTAATTTTATTTAAAATTGGATTT